CCACTTATTTGCGTTTTGGCAAAAAAAACAAAAGAAACTTAGGTAGAATTTACTCTGGAACAACCTGGCTTTATTAAAGCAAAATTTTTTCTGAGATTTTGTGGACCAGATAAAGAGTTTTACCCGACCGCAATGGTTTAGATATTTGAAAGACTCGACAACTTACTTTCACATGCATTCGCTTCTGATACCCATCCTCACAAAAAAATTAAACTCTTTTTTCGAAATTTTTTACATCGGGAGAAACGCTAACCGTAGCATTGAAATCTTCTGTTTTACGCTTTACAAGTAAGACTTTACTAAAAAATTATAAGGCAATAATTTTGCTTTATATTATTTTATTCTTCTTCAATCAATGACGGATTGTTTAAAAAAGTACTTGTACATGATTTTTCAAAGTGTTATGGAAAAAAAAAGTTAAAATACTGTAAGCGAAACTGAAAAAGATTTTGTTGTATTGTATATTCAGGTCGATAAAGTGTTGAATTTTTATGATGCTGAACGCTACTGCGAGACCTTAGGAAGTAATCTAGCATCATTTTCATCACCTTACGAGTTGAAAACTACACAGTGTATGTCGTTTGGATTTAAGTTAACCTTCAAATATTAGTCGTTTCAATTTACTTTTTTTTTTATTGCAAATGTTGTGGTAGTCTTTTTACCTCACAGGTTCAAAAGAATAGATTCAAGCAGTATTAGAACTTTTACTGGTGTGACATTAATGTTGTGCTAATAATGCAAACCGGTAGTGCTTCAAATTCCTTTATAAACACCAGGAGATATAGTACAAACTGCTTACGCCTTTGATTAATTCTGCTACCACAAAGTTTACAACAGCATTAGCTTGTTCTTTACATTTACCATATTTAATAGCAGCTATATCATGCAATAATGACAGGTCTTTTGTAAGGTGAATAATAACAACTGCTAACAAAAATGGGTTTTTGACTAGATTCTATGGAAAAATCATAAACGATAAAATTGTTATTTATTCTTTATTTCTGAACAGTATCTTACAAAAAATAAATTGTTTATAAAACTTTTTTTGTGAGCACTGGTTTTACAACTAAAGAAAAACCTAGTCTATTTTTTGAAAACCTATAGAATGTCGCTTAATCAACGTGAGCTTTCGGAGGTATTATGTCCAAAATCCTAAAAATAGAGCAGACAGCTGCAAAATGTTTTGATAAATAAGATTAATAGAAAAGAATGTCAATCTCCAATTGTTTTGAGTGTTAATGGTAAACAGTAACATTCAATAGCATCTATCAAGCGCACGACAATCTTGTTGCTAAAAAAGGGTAGACAAGAGCAGGCATATTAAACCGTAATAATCCACAGACATTTTTCTGTGAGAACGAGTGTTAAGGCAGGTCTGTACTGTGACGATTACAAGAAAATTTATCTTTAATTAGTTCACAATTGGGCAATTAATAGATAAATTTCTACTGAGTTTGGTAGTAAAATGTGTAAAAAATGCAGATACTGCGGTTGAATAAGCTGTGAGTTCAAGCAAAATCAAAAAATGCTTATTCTGTAAATGGAATCGGCAAAAACTCTTCAACAGTTTTCACCAGCCTCTTGTCGGTTTTATTATTCAACCTAATTAAATCTACTCTTCAACTGTTGCGTCTTATCAGCTGTATCTAGACTGGCAAAAGTGTGAAAAAAAATCACTTTATTGCAGCAAAATACAGAGGAAAACAGTGGTGGATTGGACTAAAACAGGTGAATACGTTCTGGCTGTGGAGTAATGCAGCTACTGTTGATTATTTATCGTGGATGCGACATAATGTAACGAAAACTGTTTCTCCTGGTCGGAAATGCATGTCTGTTGACGGAATTGGAAACATGATACGAGAAAACTGCGAAAGAGAGATGTCATTTCTCTGCAGATTTGAGCGTAAGTTTTCAAATGACATAAATAACTTTTATAGCCATAAAATGTTGATTATATCCGTATTTAATCAGAATAGATCATTATCAGAATAATCAAGCTCTGAAAAGCAATTTTGGTTTGCCACCTAGAAATAGTAATCTCTAACTGTTTTCTGTTTTGTAGAGAAGTTAATCATAGTAATTATTTTGTTTGCGACATTTTACCAACTTTGTTTTTGCAATTGCAGCGAAGATAAGGTGCAGGCTTGGATTCACTGAATATAAGGGTTATTGCTACACCTTTGTATGTCAAGCTTTTTCACAACTGTCTTGAAGAAAAATGTTTCAAAACTACTTCAAATAAATTTTGCGCTTTGGCTACACCTTACTCTTTCTTATACTAAAAATTTAATTGTTGTTATCTAGCCGCAAAAAGCTGGAACTTCTCTATTTGGTTTTTAATGTCTTGCTCAACAAAGCTGAAAAGTAAAATTGGTTACAAATTTTCAGTCACCCAAAGCAGTTGAATGGAATGTTGCTCGAAAATTTTGCTTTGCACGTGGCTCAGAATTGGTCTGGATTGATTCTGAAGCAGAACAAAAATTTCTAAATAGTGAGTACAGCTGCTTTTTATTGACAGCTCTTATTGATTTCTCAAAAAAATATGGTGCTTTTACAAACTTAGCTCATGGAATTAATCAGAACAGGTAAAAAAAGAGCGCAGAACAAGATAACTTAGTAATTATTCCTGTATAAAAATTATTTACTGACGTTAATTTATAAAGAAAGTGCCACAAATTCTACAAAAAAATAGAGCAGAAGAGCAGAAGTAAAACAAGAGGAATTGAACAAAAAGTGAAACACGTCAGTCGATTTCATTTAAACTTTTCTGAGCTCTGTTTTATAATGAACGTGTTCCTGTTTCTCCATTTTTTCTGTGAGAAAAACCTTTTTAGGCGGTGGTTTAGCCTTAGAAAATTATTGTTCGTCACTTTTGAATGAATTATATACCAAGAAACCTCAATATTTTTTCTTTTACGATCAAGTCTCAAAACAGTGATTTAGAAAAAAAAAAATAAGAGAAATAATTTTGAAAAAAAATCAATTAGCTACTTTAAGATGTAAGCATTTTGCTTAGTAGTTTTAGTATGACTTTCAAAAACCTTTTCAATTGCTTCTATTTTTTTATACTGTTTAGCCGTATTCTACCAGTATAGCTGTTGAGCTTCAACAACATGTTTCTAAAGAACTCAATGAAAAAAATCTGGACCGTAACTCTCCTATTCTTTGCTTTATAAACTCCGGTATTGTAGCTTAAAACCATAAATTGCCTTCATGACTGTGGTCTTGAAGCGAATTTGTAACAACCAGTAATAAGGAAATGCACTAATTATGCAGCTTTACTTTTTTACCAGTTTTGTAACTTTTTTTTTCCACAGAGAAAAAAAATTGCGGCATATTTTGAGTTTCAGAATCGTTTATAGGCTTTTCTAACTGTTTCCACGCTGTTTTAAAAGTCATCACTTTTTCAGTGGCATTTTTACATGTCTTATTCACAAGTTTTAGTCTGACTCTGAAAAACCTGTAAAATTTATTGAAAATAAAAAAATTTATTTTAAAAATTTTTTCTTATACAATTTTGCTTCAGAAAAAAAAGAATGCACTGTCTGAAATTGTTTTGATTAATTTAGCTCTCGCTGGAATGGACCCATTTTGGATATCTTTCGTAAAGAATGGTGATAAATGGGAATGGCTTTACATGGATAATGTGCCATATACAAAATGGAAGAGTGGTGAACCAGATCAGTGCTGCCCGGTTGGAAAAGCTAATCGTGCATTTAGTGCACATAATGGATGGAGTGACGTTGGCCCTACTTTTAAGACAGGCGTTATGTGCAAATATGAAATTAAGTTGCCATATTTTTGTACATACTTTAAAATAGATTAATCTTGAGATTCCTCTTTATTAACATTACGCATTCATTTAAATTAAAAAAAAAAAATCAAGTTTTTTTTTTTCAAAAGATTTTTTTTAAAAAATAAATTTCGAAAGCCAAATAAATGTTGCAAGAAACACCTATTATTACCACAAACTTTGGCTGGTCTCAGTAAAGTGAACTAAGGCCAAATATGGTTAAAAACCTAAATTAGCTCTTAAAATTGTATTCGCTTTGCTTTCCGTGTGTATTGTGACTTCATTTTGATACCGTTCTACTACAACTTGAGCGTTTTTTCAAATTAAATTAGACTCTAAACTTTCGGAGTTGTATTCTATAATGCGATAGATTTAGCTTTAGAAAACCAATTAACATATAGAACTTTCTAATGCTGATAATTATCTATCAACAGTTTGAAGTTTTCTATCGTTGCAAGACTTTCTGGCTTGATATTTAAAATTAATGGGCAGGCTATAGTTCAGAAAAATATCTCTTACAATTATATTTATTACTTAGTACCAAAATATTGCAATACTTGAGATACATTGTCTCTAAAGTTATCTACAAATTTTTTTTTCCATGACTGTACCACTTGTCGCACTACAACACAGTGATTTTTCACCTTCATACTTGGTTTTTTAACAGTCTAAGTACCCAGTCCTTAAAGCAGCTTCTGAACAGGTCACTTTGCATTTATGACTCTCAAAAGACTTCCAAACCTTTTTCAACTAATTTGAAAAAATTTTAACAATTAAAGGATATCAATGTTTAAAAGGAAACGCAAAAAGTGTGCTTTTGGGTAAGGAAACGAAAACCACTAAAGTTTGAATACCTTTAGAAACAAGATTTAAAGGTATGAGTGGCATAGCACTCTTAAAAAAGTTTGTAAAAAAGTGCTAAACTGGGAAGATTCGGACTTATTGTTGAGCAGTTTTTAAAAGCAATCCGAAGATAACGCAGCTTCAGACAGTAAAAAAGTATCAGACACATTGAAATGAATTAAATCCATTATCTTTGCAAATCAAGCTTATCCCACTAATTTAAAAAAATCTACAAAGCAAATGTTGCTATATATTTAGTGATCTCATTTTCAGAAGGTAAACTATTTGTAAATCGTAGAAAAACCTCTAAACCGACAAGTAAGAAACCACTAACTGCGGTGTATACGGCACATAGAGAATCATCAATTACGAAAGCACCAAAACCTGTGAAAGTATCTGCAGCTACAACTGAAGAACCACAGCCCGCAACAGTGCAAGAGGTTTCAGTTCCACCAGCCCCAGTATGTTTCGTTTAGTTTTTTATAAGCTGTATAAGATGTGTTTATGCTAGCTTGAAGCTAGTAATTACGCAATGAAACTTTGTAAGTAGTAAAGCAGACTACTTGAAGTCAACTCTTTAATCAGTTTTGCTTTCTATAGCTGAAAAGACGGAACTAAAACCTGATACCCTCCAAAGTTCCACACATTCAAAGACGCAGAATTGAGTCGGGACTTTGGCAGCGCGAAGATTAGCAAAAAGTTTTTGGTGAGCA